TGGATTCTCGAAGGGGCCCACAGTCTACAAAAAATTAAAAGATACTATCTGGAAAGTTCTACATAATTACCTTATCCTTTTGAAAGTTCACTCATTTGTCTGTGTTGTTGCTAGTATTGCTACCTTTTGTCCACTAGATGACGATATTGTACGCATTTTCAAACACCAATCATGCACTTTATTGATATGAGATGAGAACGTGGGTTAAATGGAAGGTTCTCAAAATCATTTTAGGGATGGAAGGAATTTTAGAAATAGCATAGTTCTTTCTCATTGTTTTACAGATGAAGAATTTGGTTCCCAAAATTTTAAGGGAGAACTTTGACTGGAAAATGCCTTTTGTAAAATGAAAAGGATGTCCCAAGCGGAAGGAATCCCTGGAGCCTGGGCTCGCCTCTGTCAACCCTAACACACTTTAACTTGCACCTCTGGCTGCGGGAGGGACTGGGTGTGGACTTTAGATTCCTTTGACTCTGAGACGTATATTTCAGTTATGACCATGACTTAAAATCTGGCCCTTCTCCCGGGGAGTAGGGACCCTGGTGAGGCTGAGGAGGACTTCGGTGAAGCAGGAGATTGCACAGAAAGCCCTTCTCTGTGATATAAGGCTCCCCTCTTCCCTTTCCTGGTCGGCGTTAGACATTTCTCACAATTACGTGCAATACGTTATTTTCAGAGCTAATGGTAACCCTGTCAGTGTATGTATAAGGAGTTTTGATGACACAGAAGAGATGTGCTACAAATATTGGGGTTTGGAGTCCCCAGACCTGAAGAGAGAGAAAGCCCCAGAAAAGTGGCTGGAAGGTTCTCACAAGCAGTGAGTCTTTCTCAAGGAAGCCAAGTTCTGTAGCATCCCTGGTGTTGAGTTCACTAAACCGAGGCACTGAAAGGAGCCATGGCATGTGCTCAGGACTCAATTTTCTAGAGGGTAAACCTTCCAAATTTCTCCCAAATAGGTCTTAAATTCCGGGCGCGGTGGCTCACGCCTGTAATCCTAGTACTCTGGGAGGCTGAGGCAGGTGGATCATTGGAGCTCAGGAGTTCAAGACCAGCCTGAGCAAGAGTGAGACCCCATCTCTACTAAAAAAACAAAAAAAACTAGAAAGAAATTAGCTGGGCAATTGAAAATATATAGAAAAAATTAGCCAGGCGTGGTGGCACATGCCTGTAGTCCCAGCTACTTGGGAGGCTGAGGCAGGAGGATCGCTTGAGCCCAGGAAGGTTGCTGTGAGCTAGGCTGACGCCACGGCACTCACTCTAGCCCGGGCAAAAGAGTGAGACTCTGTCTCAAAAAAAAAAAAAAAAAAAAAAAGAGTCTTAAAGTGCCTAAGTCCTCAAAAGATATTGCTATGTCTTTTTCTCCCCACTTCCCTGTTCTCTTTGTTCCTCAGTCCTCAGCCACACCCTAGCCAAAACAGAGACCAAAGTACCCTTGTTCATACCTCTTTCCACCAAAACTACCAATATTAAATTAATAAAGTGGCCTTTAAAACCAACCATTGCATTTGCACTGATAAACATACCTGGCTGTATCTAAAACGCATGATTGTGTCTGTTAAATTTCAGTGAGCAACTGCGAAGGTCACTATGATGGACAGTCACTGTTGTCTCTACAGGTCCACCCTCCTTGTGCCTCAGAATGCTGACCTTTATGTCCTCTGATTATGTGGTAGGTTTGGCCAGTGGGAAGCACCAGCAAGAGGTGGATAGGTTAGGAGAAGGACCAGGAGAATTTCTTTCCCTCTGTCTCTGTCCGCAGGGTCACTGGGTAGTCTGGCTGTTTCCTTGATCCTCCACTGAAGGTCATAGCTCCTGTCAGACCCCGTCTCCTACAGCTGCAGGACTCTGGTTTCCAGTAACTTCCTGCTCCTTTCTTTTGCTCCATTGGGCCCGGGGGTGGTAGTAGCCTGCCGTTATTGCTAGTGGCCTCCTGCTATTGCTGGTCATGGGGCACTTCATTCTCCCTCCTGGCTTTTCCTTTGTACACAGACCCTTCATTAAAATCTCTTTGTTCTTTTCATCTGTTTTCAGCCAGAACCCCGACCTGTTCAGCCAGAAACTTCACTGAAATTGTCTAATATAAAATTCCTTATAAAATTTGTTTATGGTGTTGAATTTATGTATAAATTTTCAAACTGGAACATTAATGGTCAAGTTTTATTGGGTTTAGTTTGAAGATGTTACTGAGTGCTAGGCATGACAGTACATACTTCATATCTCAAATTGTATTTAATCCTCATCCTAACCGTCCTGGTTAAATTGAGAATTTTATAGTCAAAGTTTTTAGGCACTTACGTAATAGTTGAATATTGACATTTTTATTGTGCATTTGTATGTATGTTTTAAAACACTATCATAAAAATCATTTTTCACTGCTAGTCATAATTTCTATGATAAACACTGATTTGTCACCCAGATACCCCTTTAGGAAGGAAGAACTTATTTCCCCAATAGTGGGTGGGCTGCCAGCAGAAAGCCTTCAGAAGTCAGATCCCTGCAGGTATTGCCCTGGTGGAAGAGAACTGCCTTGCCCAAGTCATGTCTCATTCCCCGGGTGGCCCATATCCAATGACAGCTCGATGTCTGTGATATAAAGGCTCAGCCTTCTTGCCCCCACTTGAAATCATTCTGAAGGGTCATCCCGGCTTTAAGAATTTCTCTGGAGATGACTGGGACCTCCACTGAGATTGCGTTTCGGTTCATGTTCTCCCTCTGACCAACTCTGCTTCTTTTGCTTCCCTTTTTAGGTATTTATTGTGAGAACGCTTGTGCATGCTAAACTTTTTTCTCAGTGTCAGACCCAACCTGTGACATTTGGTGCCAGGAGTGATCCAAGAATATACATGCTGGGATAGGATTTTTTTCTGCAACTTTTTTGAGGTACAATTGACAAATACTAATTATATATATTCAAGGTAGACAACATGATGTTTTGATATACATATACATTGTGAAATGATTGCCACATTCAGGCTAATTAACCTAATATCCAAGTGAATAATGAAGCTAATATTCATAACCTCACATAGCTACTTTTTAAAATTATAAGAATACTTAAGATATACTCTCCTGGCAACTTTCAAGTATGTAATACATTACTATTAACTATAGCCTTCATGCTGACATTAGATCTCCAGAACTTATTCCCCTTATAACTGTGAGTTTTTACCTTTTGACCAACATCTTCTCATTTTCCCCACTCCCTGACCCCTGAACCACCCTTATGCTCTCTGTTTCTATGAACTTGACCTTTTCAGATTTCACATATAAGTGAGGTCATGCACTATTTGTCTTTCTGTTTGGCTTATTTCACTTAGCATAACGTCTTCTAGATTCATCCATGCTGTCACAAATGGCAGAATTTTCTTCTTTTTTTATTGTTTATATTTGAGGTGTACCTCATGATGTTTTGATATACATATGCATAGTAAAGTGGTTACCACAGTCAACATATTAATAATCATCTCACATAGTTACCCATTTTGTGTGTGTGTGTGTGTAGCAAGAGCACCTATAATTTACTCCTAGCAAAAATCCCAAATATGATACAATGTTATTAACTAGAATCCTCATGTTGTACATTAGATCTCTAGACTTGTTCATTTTACATATCTGCAACTTTGCATCCTTTGATCTACATTTCCCCGTTTCCTCCTTCCCTACCTTCCTCCCTCCCACTCCTCCTCTGGTAACCACCATTTTCTTCTTTATCTTTGTGTTATTTGACTTTTGTTGTTTTTTTTAAATTCCACATATAAGTGAGATCATGTGGTATTTGTCTTTGTGTGCCTGGCTTATTTCACTTAACATAATGTCCTTCAGGTTCATCCATGTTGTTGCAAATGACAGTACTTTCTTCTTTTTTTAGGCTGAATATATTCCACTGTATATATATACCACATTTTCTTTCTTTATTCATCTGTTGATGAGCACTTAGGTTGACTCAGTATCTTGGCTCTTGTGAATAATGATGCAATGAACATGGGAGTGCAGACACCTCTTCGAGATAGTGATTTTGTTTCTTCTGCGTGTGTAGCCGGTAGTCAGATTGCTGCATCGTATGGTAGTTCTATTTTTAATTTTTTGAGGAACCTTGATCCTGTTTTCCATAATAGCTAAACTAATTTATATTTCCACCAACAGTATAGAAGTTTACCTTTTCTCCACATCCTCACCATTTGTTATCATTCATCTTTTTCATAAGAGCCATTTTAACAGGTGTGAGGTGATATCCCATTTTGGTTTTGATTTGCATTTCCCTGACAGTTAATGATGTTGAGCATTTTTTCATAGATGTTTTGGCTCTTTATTTGTCTTCTTTTGAGAAATGTCTATTCAGATCATTTGCCCGTTTTCATTTTTTTGGAATTTCAGAAATCTTTTCTTCTTCTTTTTTTAATGTTCTGGCTTCTGCCTCCTTCTATTCGCCCATTTTTTTTTTTTTTTTTTTGAGACAGAGTCTCGCTTTGTTGCCCAGGCTAGAGTGAGTGCTGTGGCGTCAGCCTAGCTAATAGCAACCTCAAACTCCTGGGCTCAAGCAACCCGTCTGCCTCAGCCTCCCGAGTAGCTGGGACTACAGGCACGCGCCACCATGCCCGGCTAATTTTTTCTATATATATATTTTTAGTTGTCCAGATTATTTCTTTCTATTTTTTAGTAGAGACGGGGTCTCGCTCTTGCTCAGGCTGGTCTCGAACTCCTGACCTCAAGAGATCCACCCGCCTCGGCCTCCCAGAGTGCTACGATAACAGGCATGAGCCACTGCGCCCGGCCATATTTGCCCATTTTTAAATTGAATTGTTTCCTTACTATTGAGTTGTTTGAGCTCCTTCTATATTTTGAATATTAACCCCTTATCAGATATATGGTTTGCAAATATATTCTCTGATTCTGTAGATTGTATATTTTCTTTGTTGCTTGTTTCCTTTGCCATGCAGAAGCTTTTTAGTTTTATGTAATCGCATTTGTCTATTTTTGCTTTTGTTGCCTGTGTTTTTGAGTCAAATCCCTGGGTTGGAAAAGGTGGCAGTTCTGTTCCTGAAGTGGCTCAACAGCAGCTGCTTCTTGGTGGGCACAGGGGTGTGCAGCTGTGTCTCCCTCTTTGGCTGTTGGTTACTCAGTGGGAAAAGATGCTGGTGTCCTCTGCAGAGCAGGCCACTGGGGACCACAGTGGTTCCCACCACATTGGCTGATGCAGATAGTTTCTGTCTTTCTTCTTTGTTCCTAGCCCTCTCCTGGTGTCTGGGGTATGCTGATCTCACCAGCCATCTTTTCTACATGGATATCCTCCATGTTTTTGCTCCACAGATAGTGAAGGTTTTTCAAGGTGCCCTTGAACCCTCTCAGAGCCGATTTGGTTTGTGAATAGCAGTCTATATTTGATTTTTTTTATAGGATGATGAAGGCTGGTATTTCCTACTCCATCATCTTTCAAACCACCTTTCTTTTTTCTTAATGTGGGTGTTTATTGCTATAAACTTGCCTCTTAGGATTGTTTTTGCTGCATTGCATAAGTTTCGATATCTTGTTTTTTCATTTATGTTTGTTGCAAGATATTCTTTGGTTTTGATTTCTTTGACCTCTTGGTTGTGCAGGAGTGTACTGTTGAATTTCCACATATTTGTAAATTTCCAGTTTTCCTCCTGTATTGATATCTAGTTTTATACCATTGTGGCTGAAAAATATACTTGATATGATTTCAATCTTCATCTTGTTAGGATTTGTTTTGTGGCCTAACATATGATCTATCCTGGGAGAACGTTCCACGTGCACTTGAGAAGAATGTGTATCTGCTGCTGTTGGTTGGAATGTTCTGTACATGTTTGTTAGGTCCATTTGATTTGTAGTGTACTTCAATCCAGTGTTTATTGATTTTCTGTGTGAATGATATATCCATTATTGAAAATCAGCATTGAGGTCCCCTACTATTATTGTATTTCTCGCTTCAGATTTGTTATTTGCTCTATATATTTAGGTGCTCCAACGTTGGGTGCATATATATTTATAATTGTTGTAATAATCTCTTGATGAATTGACCCCTTTACATAATGACCTTTTCTGTCTTTTGTCTTTTCTTTTTTTATAGTTTTCAACTTAAACTCTATTTTATCTAATATAAGTATATCTATGTTGCTCTCTTGATTTTCATTTGCATGGAATATCTTTTTCCATACCTTCACTTTCACTCTATGTGTGTCCTTAAAGATGAAGTCAGTCTCTTGTAGGTAGCATATAGTTACGGGTTTTATTTTTTTAATCCATTCAACCACTCTATGTCTTTTGATTGGAAAATTTAATCCGTTTGCATTTAAGGTAATTATTTATAAATAATCCTTAAATTATTTTGGTATTTTGCCATTTTGTTAATTTTTTTCTAGATATTTTGAGTCACTGGGATTATAGGTGTGAACCACCGCACCTGGCTCTGATGTTTGCATTTTTGATATCCTGTTTTTGACATTCAATAATGTATAGCTCTGCTTATTTATATATCCAATAGATAATCAATATTTTGATAAATATTCAATATTTGACAAATATTAAATAATTTAAATATTCAAGTTAGAGAACTTTCTGGAAAGATGATATAAGGAGGGTAAATTTGCCTATTCTTCCTGAAACCTACAGACATGAACCAAAAGAACCAAATAGAGAGGAAAAAATATATATCCACAGTGAAACTAGCAGACAGCTAAATTCCACATCACAGACTGAAGAATATCTTCTAGAAGCAATATCATTTGAACCAAATTAGTTGAAGATGGATGTTCAGAGCTGACTCCTATATCCTCTGATATTGTAAATGTAAATTAGGAGATAAAAAAGCACCTTATTATTAACCTTTAACTGCAGTAAGAATTAAGCCTGTGGGTGGATCAAGGAGAAATAGGGAGAACCTTGATGGGGGCACATTTCTATTCCAAGGAATGTCAAAGGAGATGATGTTGAAAGGAGAACATGTGTTCCCAAAGTCTTTATTGTTTATGACCTGGCCCCAGACTAGGATAACTTTCAGGATGGCCAGAATCCTAAGAGAGTACTCTCACAGGATCAATATGTTTACACAACAGAGATTAATTAGTTTTATAGGAAATAATTTATATTAAGGATGCCTGCTGGCCATTTCTCAGCTCACTCCTACACCTGAAAGATCAATCAGAGACTAAGAGATGAATATTGATGTAAAAATCCTAAATAAAATATTAAAAACCAGAATCCCTGCAGCACACTATAAAAGAATACCTTATGTCCAAATAGAGTTTATACAGAAATACAAGGATGATTCAACATTAGTAAATAAAGGAACAGCAGAAGTTAAATAACATCACAAGGATAAATGTTCTATTAGATAATTGGCCATACTTCTTCAAAAGTCAGTGCCATGAGGCAAAAAGTAAGAGACTTTTGTAGATGAAAGAGACCGAAGAGACATAACAACCAAATGCAATGCATGACACTTGATTAAATCCTGGTTCGAGAAAAACAAATATGAAATAGATTTTCTTCTTTTTTCTTTGACAGAGTCTTGCTCTGTTGCCCGGGCTAGAGTGCCGTGGCATCAGCCTAGCTCACAGCAACCTCAAACTCCTGGGCTCAGGCAATCCTGCTGCCTCAGCCTCCCAAGTAGCTGGGACTATAGGCATGTGCCATCATGCCTGGCTAATTTTTTATATATATTTTTAGTTGTCCAGATAATTTATTTCTATTTTTAGTAGAGACGAGTCTTACTCTTGCTCAGGCTGGTCTTGAACTCCTGACCTTGAGCAATCCTCCTGCCTTGGCCTCCCAGAGTGCTAGGGTAACAGGTGTGAGCCACTGAGCCTGGCCAGATTTTTTAGATGATTGGAAAAAAGTGAATATATAGATAGACCTTGTTATATAATAACATAAAATTATTATTTATTTTAAGGCATAGTCATGGTAATGTGGTTATATAAGAGAATGTCCTTATTAGAAGATACATGCTGAGGTTATTTAGGGGTGAAGTGTTACGATGTCTGCATCTTATTTTCACATGGTTCACAGTACACAAAACAGACAGAAAGGTGAAACAAATATGGCAAAATGTTAATAATTTCTGAATCTAGGTAGTGGGTATGGGTGTTCGTTGTGTTATTCTTTCAAATTGTTTATATGTTTGAATTTTATCCATAATAAAAAAAACTGGGAGGAAAAGAATACATTTAAAGATGTAAAACAGGCTGGGAACAGTAGTTCATGCCTGTAATCCCAGCATTTTGGGAGGCCAAGATGGGAGGACCACTTGAGACTACGAGTTTGAAACCAGCATGGGCAACATAGTGATTCCTCCATCTCTACAAAAAATAAATACAATTAGCCAGGCATGGTGGCTCACATCTGTAGTTCCAGCTACTTGGGAGCCTGAGGCAAGAAGATGGCTTGAGCCCAGGAATTCAAGGTTATAGTGAACTATGATGACACCACTGCACTCCAGCCTGGGTGACAGAGTGAGATCCTACCTCCAAAAAAAAAAAAAAAAAACCAGATATAAAATAATTAAAGAAGAAGATGATAAAAGAAATAAAATGAGAGATACTCAGACAACAGAAAGAAATGGAAAGGAAGCCACACTAATGCAAGAAAATGAGGAACAAATGAATGAAAACTGAATTAGCAATAGCACACAAAGAAACTGACACAGCTGAAAACAGGGACCGTGACATGAGATAGAGTTGAAAAAAATCACAGAGGGTGAAATTAAAAAGAAACGAGAGCAATTAGAGAGAAGATGATAGATACAGCTACAAAGAAGACTGGCTGCAAAGACCCAACATATACATAATTAGTTTTACTGAAGAGGATAAAATATATTCTGGGGCTTCCTACCTAACTGAATTCTTTCAGGCTCACCACATTTAATTCTACATTTAATATCCCAAGTTATTCAAATGTATGTGATAGGGGAGCTGAAGTTTCAATGGCAAATCCAAAAAATTAAACAAATTCAAAAACTCTAGGAGGGAAAAATGGAGATTGCGGACAAGGTCTTCTGAAGTGAGTAGTTTTGACAATAAAATGATCAAAAAAGAAAGCAATTGTGAAAATGTGGTACTATCCAATGCTATTATGCTTTGAAGAAATGTCTGATCCCTGGTTTGGATGTAGAGGAAGAATAAGAAGGCAAAATGCTGGAGACATTTGCTCATACTCATTGTTTACTCCAACTCTGATTAGTGTTTTCCTATAGTTAATGTTAGGTCTTTGTGGCATTAGTTCTCTGCAACCTAAACAACTCTATATACTAAGTAAGATAAGGAACTGATCAAACAAATTTAGAGCGTTTCCCAAGATTTCCATGGTTTCAGTAATTTCTGTTTTCTGTATCCTGAGAGGATCAAGAGTTCACTGGAGGTCAAAATCTCATTGCAAGTATTTGTCAGTGGGTGATTTCTCTTTCCACTTACAGGACTTCTAATGCACACAGGTTACGAGCTGTTCTTTATCATTATTCCTGTAGAGTTTCTGAAGTCTAAATATAAGGTATTAACTTAAGGTGCTGCTATTTATTTGTCTGTGGGACTTGGGGAAAGTTTTTAAATACGTTCTAGTTTTGCCTTTGTAAAATGCAGATAATATATACCTCGTAAGTTTGTTGTGTGGATTAAACAAGATATTCTAGAAAATATTTGGTTCAGAGTTTGGGGCAGAGAAGACACTCCAACAATATCCTATTGTTTCTTCTTCAATGATAAAAGCTCATAAGTAATGAAATGTGATAATGCCAAAAGGAATACTTCTTCACTGAAGGATTTTGTCCCTCCTCGGTAGTAGCCTAGCCATGATATCTGTTACTTTACTCTATAATCTTAAAATTAACACAGCATAGCATTCTGCTAGACATTTTATGGATGGAAATAATTAGAAATTTTATTTTTGGTTCAAATAATGGCCTCTGAGCATATGGATCCCTCTTAATTCATTGACAATGAGTTCCTAAACTCCGTTGGATCTGTAGCTGTGAACCTACAGTACACACCCTCTGGGCATTTTTAACAGGTTTTAGCTTGGCGATAATTAATAAATTAATAATTGGTGTTAAGGAAAGTTAATGTATCATGAAAGGAGAAACAGAAACAGCAAGTAAGAAATGTATGTTTCTATAAGGGACATGCTATTAGAACAAAAGAAAAGCTTGACTTAACCTTGGCTAGCGTACTAGCACAGTTAGATT